TTAGTCAATAAGTCAATAACATGCCATCGCTGGTAATTAGTATCAATGGTCAATGTGGGTCTGGCTGGGGAATCTTGCCCGCATGCTCGGGGTTCTGCTGATCGCCATATTTGGGGTTGGGAAGGAATTTTCCTCCAGGGTAGATTGGCAGAGGCCCTGGAGGTTTTTCGCCTTCCTCCGCAGCATGGGGCAGGGGTCGCTTGCTGGAGGATTCTCTGCGACTTGAAGTCTTTAAATCATGATTTGGGGATTTCAACAGCTGAGTCAAGGGAGAGAATTATTCCAGGAGTGGGTGGGTCAACTTTTGTGGCCTGCATCATGCGGGAGGTCAGACTAGATGATCATAATGGTCCCTTCTGACCTTAAAGTCTATGAGTCTTGGGACCAACCTTATTTAACATTTTTATTACTGACCGTGGCACAAAAAGTGGGAGTGTGCTAATAAAATTTGCAGATGACACAAACTTGGAGGATATTGCCAATACTGAGAAGGACCGGAATATCATACAAGAAGATCTGAATGACCTTTTAAACTGGAGTAATAGAAATGGGTTATTTAATAATGCAAAGTGCAAGGTCATGCATTTAGGGACTAACAACAAGAATTTTTGCTATAAGCTGGAGACTTATCAGTTGGCAGTGACAGAGGAGGAGAAAGAGCTGGGTGTATTGGTTGATCACAGGATGACTATGAGCCATCAATGTGATGTGGTGGTGAAAAAGGCTAATGCAGTCCTATGATACATCAGACAAGGTATTTCCAGTAGAGACAGTGAAGTGTTAGTACCATTATACAAGGCGCTAGGGAGACCTCATCTGGAGTATTGTGTGCAGTTCTGGTCTCCCATGTTTAAGAAAGATGAATTCAAACTGGAACAGGTGCAGAGAAGGGCTACTAAGATGATCTGAGGAAAGGAAAACCTATCTTATTAGAAGATACTCAAACAACTTGGCTTGTTTTGTCTAACCAATAGAAGGCTGAGGGGAGATATGATTACTCTGTATGAATACACCAGAGGGCTAAATACTAGGGAGGGAGAGGAGTTATTTAAGGGCTGGTCTACACCCAGCCGCTAGTTCGGCGGCTGGGGATCGAAGTTCTGGGTTCGACTTATCGCGTCTGGTCTGGACGCGATAAGTCGAACCAGGAAGTGCTCGCCGTTGACTGCGGTACTCAAGCTCGGCGAGAGGAGTACCGCGGAGTCGACGGGGAGCCTGCTTGCCGCGTGTGGACCGCGTCTGAACCGCGGTAAGTTCAAACTAAGGTATGTCGACTTCAGCTACGTTATTCATGTAGCTGAAGTTGCGTACCTTAGTTCGACTTGGGGGGTTAGTGTAGACCAGGCCTAAGTTAAGCATCAACGTGGACCCCAGAACAAATACATATAAACTGGCCATCAACAAGTTTAGGCTTGAAATTAGGTGAAGGTTTCTAACCATCAGAGGAGTGAAGTTTGGAGCAATGCGGACAAAAAAAAACCCCTAAATGGCTTCAAGACTGAGCTTGATAAGTTTATGGAGGGGATGGTATGACAGGACTGCCTATAATGGCATGTGGCCCATCGGCAACTGCCTGTACCAAAAATCCCCAACGGCTGGAGATGGGACACTAGATGAGGAGGGCTCTGAGTTACTACAGATAATTCTTTCACAGGTATCTGCCTGGTGGGTCTTGCCCATATGCTCAGGGTCTAACTGATCGCCATATTAGGAGTTGGGAAGGAATTTCCCCCGTCAGATTGGCAGAGACCGTGGGTTTTTTTACCGCCTTCTGCAGCAGGGGTCACGGGTCATTTGCAGGTTTAAACTAGTGTAAATGGTGAATTCTCTGTAACTTGAAGTCTTTAAATTATGATTTGAGGCCTTTAGTAACTTACCGAGAGGTTAGGGGTCTATTACAGGAGTGAGTGGGTGAGATTCTATGGCCTGCAATGTCCAGGTCAGACAAGATGATCACGATGGTCCCGTCTGATTTTAGTAAGAGTATCTGTGTAAGACTATGCAATTTAAAACCTACAGTGGCCCTTAAGTGACTTGCCACAAGATGTCAGAACATGATAGTATTAGAGCTGAGAGGGTCTAATATTTATTTATTTTTCTTTCTTAATCTAGAAATTAGATACAATGCGCCTGCCAGATATTTCTAAGTTATTATCTGCAAAAACACTAGAGTTTTCAGTTGCCTAAGTAGCCCCTGGAATCAGTGTTAAAGTTGTGCCCTCTCCCCATCTGAAATGGCGCCCCTGCAGGCACGGAATTTGTTGTCCCCACCGGCCACACGTAGCCCCATTGGCCTGACTGGAGACGCCCTCCAAAATATAGAAGTCAAACTACATCTATGGTTATTAGCTAGTGTTGAGAACTGTGGGAAGACTGCAAATACTTCACGTTCATCGTATAGTGTGCAGGTGAACATTTCTGTGCAAGCAAGTCCCTATGCACAGAGTGGGCCATGTCAAGGTGGTTTACAGAGGGAGGTTACTAGAACAGTCTTCAAAGTTGCTATACTAATGTGACTGTTTGAGGGACAATTATTGTAGTTGTTTATTCCAGGAACATTTACAGAGACTGTTTTGCTTTACTGAGTTGTTACACTGGTCTGACACCCCCTGTCAGGACGGATGGCGGCCTAACATGCATTCACCCTTCCCCACAAATCCCATAGGAAGGGAGAGACAGGCAGGCATCAGGCAGGTGAAGCTGCCTTTCCCTTCCTGTTGGCATGGAGCTGAGCAGTTAGCAGGCATGTGGGGAAGGAGGCCCTGTGAGCCTTACATGATGAAGAAATAGAGTCTCAGCCCGTCCCAGTAGCTGACCAAAACAAAGGAAGGGTAATAAATCAGCTGATGTCAGGGCTAGGTCAATGATGTGCACATCGGAATGGCTAATTTCTAAGTCACACCGCAGCTGTATGTGTCCTCTTCACCTCCCTTCCCATCTCACACTGTGCAGGGCTTTGACAGGGTGAAGGAGGAGAGATGATACATGAGTGTGGGGAAGGAGGAGAGGTGGGGTGACTGAGGAGAAGGCAGGGCAAAGGAGATGGAAGTGTAGTAGCAGCTCCAGAGCATCAAACTGGCTGCAGCAGCCAACATGGTGCACAGTCACCGTGACTCACAGAAACGCATGGGATTCATGAGCGTCCAGCAGCTGGGCTCTCCACCTCCGGCCTCCCCTCCTCCAGTTCCACCTACACCAACCCACTCCCAGATGGGGACTCCTTCCCCAGCCCTGCCCTTGGTTCCCTGTATCACATGGATTTGCTTGCCTTCCTCAGTCCTCTCCATATAACAGAGCTAGCATTCATCAGTGGCCTAATCCATCACGGCCAGACTCCCATTTGCTGCTGCAGCAGCTCTCTCCAGCCTCCTGCTCCCCACAGTAACCTGACTCCTCCCTCTTCCTCCAACTCCTGTCAGGGTCTTTAGCCAGCATGAGAGGCACACTAGTTGCTGGGATGCCCCTGCAGCTCCAAGGCTGGGCCCAAGATTTTAAACAATAAATTGCCACTTGATGCTACCTGTTAAAGTTTACAGCTGAAGGTTCTTACAATTTTTATTGCACATAATGTACATCCAATAAAAACCACACTATACTGTATCAAAATTAAAAAAACAGACATTCTTATGCTACAAAAATACAAACACTGGTTTTGAGGAGCTTGGCTTCTTTTTTTACAAAGTGAGGCCATCATCGATTCACAACCCCCAAGGCTGAAAAGAGTCAGCACATCTCTGAAGATTAAATAAATAGAAGTCAGTTCTCTAGGATCCAAGACTTCCCTGTTGCAGACTTAGCAAAGGGCCTGGAAGCAGTCCAGTTTGGAAACTAGATTATGTAGCAAGGTGTGGTTAGGTGAGGAATGAGTACGAGGCGCTGAAGGTGTCCAGTGGTCACTGCAACATAAATATGGTGTCTCCTTTTTTAAAAAAGGGGGGGTGGGGACAGTGGAAACACAATTGTCCAAGCCCAGGCCACATGGCAACTTGACAGGAGTTCCAGTACCACTTGCAGTTCTCAGAAAATGGAGCTGACAGTATCTTTAACAAAGAGGTCTAGCCCTGCAGATCCCAGCATGCAATGCTCTATCTCAGTCCAAGCAGTCAAAACACACCATTGCATCTTGGGACCTGTAGCCTCTGAAGTCCTTATCACTGTATTAAATATAAGAGGCTGCAGGACTCCTGGTACCCATCACAAATCTATAGAATAAGAGTGCTTGTATATTGTATGGAAACAGTATCTCTTCCTTGCATTCTCCACAACACAACTGTTACCAATAAGTTACCCTTTCAATACAGTAAGTAACATTCTGCACTTCAATAGCACCTTCTTCCATTCTGAGCCATTCAAAACCCTTTCCAAAGGGGGCAGCTCTCATTCTCCTCTTTTACAGGTGAAGCTCAGAGAAATTAAGACTCAGACTTTCAAAGCAGCCATTCATTTTGGGTGTCCAACATCAAACACCTATGGACAATTTCAGAGGTGCTCAATACCCAGTACCATCAACTGAAGTCAGTGGGCTCTGCAGGTGCTCGGTACTTGCTGAAAATCAAGCCCTAAGCGTCCACTGTTAGGCACACAACAAATGAAGCATCCAAAATTTGAGTCCACTTGCCAAAGATCACAGAGTGAGCCAGGAACAGAAGCTAGGTCTCCTGAACTACCCACTAGACAATGCTGCCACCACAACACTCCCTGCCCCTCAATCTGTAGAGTAAAATCTCAAACTGAATAAACAGACTGGAGTCCCAAAGACAAACCTGAACATCTGGCTGTTCTCATGCTTTACACATCAGGGCAAAGCGAGTTGTTTCCTGCTAGTGTGGTGGGTTAGGCAGGTCTGTTTCTATTCTAGGAGAGAACAATTCAGGGGGATTTGACCTGCTTCCTTCCAAGGCCAGCATTGCCTACGGCACTCTTACCATTCAGGCAGGACCTTATGTTCCAACACTGATGCACTCAGTGAGGAGCTTGGAAGTAGCACCCTCTGTCTTAGAAGAAGCTCTACCTCTAGAAGCAGCAGTTAGAAGCAAGGCTGAAATAAAACCTATTAGAAAAGAGGAAGGCAAGCGGGGAGGACAAGAGGAGAGGAAACAACTGAAAAAGAAAAGGCAGAGGAGGACAGATAAAAGAAAGTAGAATGGAAGGGGAAAAGATGACAGAAAAGGCAAAAGGAAACTGATGGCTAAAGAACTAGGAAAACAAGCAGAGGGACCATATTAGCTGTATGCAGAAGCTCCAGCAGTACTAGTAGTGGCCTTGGTGTCCTAGAGATCCAGCAAGCACTGTTTCAGCAGGGAGTGGGGTGGATGGTACTAAAAGCATGCGGGGTCTCTGCACCTCTAAAGCAGAGTGACTGGGAACAGATGCTTCTCTCACAGTTCCAAGCCATTCGAGCACATCAGGGAGCAATGTTCTAACTGACTGAAAAGTCAGCAGCATAAGCATGTGTACAGCAGATTCTACCGGGGCAGGGAGAATGTTTAGTAGCAAAACAGAAGAGCAATTCTTGAAGAAGCTCTGACACGGAACAATGGGAAGAGTTTTAGAGCCTGGAATGGGGAAGTGTCAATGCACCAAGGCAGCAGGGAAGGGAAAGGAGGCTCCAGTCAGTATCGTTTGCATCCCTTTTTCTTGCCCCCACGTTGCTGCTGCTTCTCTTTCCGTGCCCCAGCCGTGGTAAAGGTGATACAGTGAGCGTCCAAAAAGTCCAGCAATTTTCCCAGTGCAATCTTAATGCCATTCTGCTTCAGCTCTGCCTGCAGCCCAGTCAGCTCAAAGGGCTGGTAAAGGAGGATCTTCCGGTGCAGGACTGGATTTGAATGGATGTAGCTTCTCACTGCCTCCAGCTTATCTGCCTCCCGGGCTGCAGCCTGAGATGCTGGGATCCCTTCGTCCTCTTCAGATGTAAGGGCACCTGTCTCAAACTCATTGGAAGAAGAACTGAAAATGAGAGAGAGGAGAGATCAATGAAATGCCCTATTACCAAGGAAATGATCATGGACCAACAGGGAACATGGTGGAGTTATTGATTAAACGCCCTTGTGTGGCCCACCCGAGTGCTATGAATTCTCTGACATTTTAGGTCTCATTAAAATAACTGTCTGACGGGACAGACAGTGTGGGCAAGTGTTCAGCGAACTTCCATTCTCAGCTCTGCCAATGCCCCTTCCACTGTATCGGCAGCATCTCCTGCTATTCCAGTCTTGGGCCCCTCATACATGTGCTGGTGCTCCTCAATCCTGACCCAGCACTGCCTGCTTCTATTCTACTCTTGGACTCCCTATGCACAGCTCTGTTATTGCACCTCCTGTGACCAGCAGAGACCCCTGCTATTCCAGTTCTGGGCCTCCATTCAGCTCTGCCAGTGCTTCTCACTCTTGACCTACAGAGCCCAGACATCCCAGACGTGGGCCTTTACCAAGCTCAGAATACCAGATATGCCAAACTATGGTTTTGTGATCTGACAAGAGATCACTAGGAATTAGACTGAAACCCCCCGAAAAAGGATATGTGGGTAAGCTAAGCCCAGGACAAAGGGCAGGGCTTCTCTACTTTGAGGAGAGCTGAGGTGTCTCCCCCCCTTGACCAGACCCACACCAGTAAATGAGGTTTTCCCTGCTGTTTCAGTCCCTTACCTCTGTGACCCAAAGGAGTTGTCACTTCCAGCCACTGAAGAAGCTGCAGACTCCTGAGATGCTGAGAGCACCTGTCCATCAGCACTGCCCACCAGAGAACCTTTAACTGGAGATGTAGCTGGAGACAAAGTATCTCCCTTTAGCCCTCTGGCTCCTCCTGGGTGGCCTTTAGTTTCAGCTGTTTTCTTAGTCCTCAGATAGCCTGTTGTAGAGGGGCCCGCTGAGCTGTCAGCATCACCACTGCCCAGAACTGGCAGGGAAGGGACCGAAACCCCCAGCTTCTGCTTGCGCCCTACACTGGAGGCTTTGGAACTCTCTTCTCTCAGTTCAATCAAGTCTGCTTGGGGTTGGCTGGGGTACTTCACAGTGGCTTTCTGTAGGGGTGGTTGGGAGGATGGGATCTCATCCTCTGAGTCAGAGGACATGATCTGATGAGTATACTGGAATATCTCCTTCAGCTTTAACACCATCTGCCGTTTTGGGAGAGGACGGACTCCAAATCTAAAATACAAAGGTGACACTTTAGTTAAGCAATATGGTAAGTTTAGGCTGATGTGGTGATGCCCCATCTTTGTGGCGTCGCAGCATGGGTGGAGGAATTGAAGGCTCCAGTCCCACATGAAGTCTGCAGTCCAGGCACCACTACTAACTGGGTCTCAAGTAACATTTACTGGAATGCCATCAAATGTTTCTCTCTTGCTGCAAAGGGGCTTCTCTGTCAAGCTACTTCCCTGCAGGTACCTGCACATTAAGAAACTGGCCTTGTTCTCCAAGGTGCTCATGGAGGCAACACTAACCTGTTCAGTTCCTTCTTCAGCTCTGGGGTCTCCATGATGGAGTAAGCTGGTACTGGTGTTATGGGAACTCTGGGGGGCTGGTTTCTCTTGTGACAGACAGGGTCTGCAGCAAAATGAAATTATTACAATGAGAATAAATATATCAACATGGAGGGTCCTGGGACTGGCTGATGATTTCTAGTCTTTGTGAAAGATATTACAAGGACACATAATAGTAATATCTAGGGCATCATTTTCCCCCAAAGGATCCCACAGCCCTTTACCAACTATCTCATATTCATTTTAGACAGAGCTGTGAAAACTTTGGGTGGGGGTTTGGGTGGACTCAAGTCAGCCTTTTATTGTTTTGTTTTTACTCACTTTAACTAAGAAAACAGTTTAATTTAAAAGAAATTACAAGTTTTGGACCCAAAGTCCCTATGCTGTAAGGACAGGCACCTTTTGCCAGTTAAAAAAAGGCTGTGTTATTGAACTTTGTAAAGGGGCCACTGCTGGCATGAGCCATGACTGTAGCACAGGAGGGTGAAATTCAGAGGAGAGGGACTGTTGTTTCAGAGGTAAATTAATGGGTCTTAACTCTCTGGAGAGCCAAGTTAGAACATTGAGCTGGGTCTAAAGCAAAATTAGTTTGTTGGCCACTTCCTAATCCCTTACTGTGAAATTATCAACCAAAGTGGCGTAATTAATTAACACTATGAGATCTTGGATAGAAGGAGCTATATCAGTCTACAGAGATTTAAAAACTGTAATCAAATAAGCTCTCTAGCACTGCAGAGAGGTAAGTGTTAGGTCAAATGTATAGATATTTAAGCTGAAGCACAGAGATATTAAGTTACTGCCCAAATCACACAGTGAGTCTGTGTCAGAGATGGGAAGAGCCCAATCTCCCACTCATATCACTAGATCATACTATTTCCCTCTTCGTAGGTCAAGATTTGAGTGTATTACGAGAGCCTCTGGGAAGGGGCCCCAGAACTGCAGGTCAGGTCTGAGGGGCACTGTCTGAGCTTTAAAGGAAAGCTTGCATGACGCCCATCTGCAGCCTACCTAGTGTTTGCCAGTGCTATAAGTCTCCCAATTTGCTTGCCACATTCATATATGTAAAAAGAAACACAACTGCCACTGTTCTACTGGCAAAGTAGCTGGTCTGAAGGCCTCACGTGCTGTTAACAGAACGGTCACACATAGTGTTGAATAGTAAGGATCATATTGATACCAAACCATACCCACAGCAGCCAAGCATCCAGTAGGATTTAGATAAAAAAAACACCTGTATTATGATCTTGATATTGTTCACTGCAAAAACTTCCCTGGGGAATGGGACTCATGAAACAAACAATGTGAATGAAACACAAAAACACTGTATTCCAGTAATTCTGAGTGCCAAGCGGAATCCCCTACCTAGCAACTAGGAACTGTGAAGCGGACACTACCTCTCTGGCACCTGGCCTTGAAAATCATGTCAGACCAGCAGGTGAACCACCCAAACACAACAAGGTGAACTACAGACAGAGTGACCAGTTCAAATGAAAACTGGGATGATTCTGGGATTCATACAAGTACTTACCAGGAGTCTTTAGGGGCTGGGTATTCTGGGCAGCTGCTGCAGCGGACACCCTCTGTGTGACAGGAAGAATCTCTGGGAGTTCATCTTCATCCCAATCATCCCAGACTTTAGAGTTCCGAAAACTTAACCTATTACTCACTGAAGAATGTGCCTCAACAGGACTCTCTTCATGACAAAACAAGGTATTTCTATTGTCAACAGGATTTCCTCGAAGAGGAGTGCTACCTGTAATTTCCAGGGCTCTGATTGGGCTCTTCCATTGGTCGTGCTGAGAGCCACTTTTTCCGCGGATGGGACTGCTGGTATTTGCACAGTCCAACCTCTCAAGCACCCTGTTGTTATCTTTGATTGGTGACAGATGTTCGACACTCCAGCAGTCGTCATCAACTGGGATTGGTGGCTCATCACCGAGCAGGAAGCTGCCACTCGAAGGGAGTGGAGCCACCTCCTTTTCCTCCTCACTGTCCTCTACCTCAACCACACTAATGTCTGTTTTATTCTCCAGAGACAGCTCACGGCATGGAAGGCCTCGTATGGGTGAAGACGGGTTTTCTGAAGACTTCTCTTTCACACGAACACAGGCAGGTGAGAGTGGAGCTGGAGAAACTCGCAGAGAATCCTTCCAAGACTGACCTAAAGGGCTGCCAGGAGAGGTTTTTTTGCTGACTGAGGAGTTCTCTGTAAGCAAATGTTTTTGTGAGGAAGTTGCAAGTAACAGATCTGAAGTTATCTCTGGAATCTTCATAGTTTCCCCAGCTTGTTTATGGTCACTAGTATTTACCAATAAAGCCGTAGTCCTGTGCTTAGACCCCTGATTCCTCAAACAGCATATACTTGTTGCCTGGGTCTGTGTTGAGCAGTTCCTGCTTCTGGTAAGAAGAGGTGTGTCTGGCACCAACCATGAGGTGTCCATGCTAGAGCTCTCCTCATGGCTCAGAATCAGTCTGCTATCAATAAAAGTCCCAACCTCGTTGTTAAGAGGCATCTCTCCTGACAGCTTTACAGCATTCTCACTGTACATCTTGTCTTGACTTCCTAGTGACACTTGAAATTGTCTCTGGTGTATTTCAATGTCAGCAACTGAAACAGGTCCAGATTTTGGTACCTCGTGCTCTTGCTGCACTTTCTTACAGTTACAATCCAATCGCCTGGAGATTTCCATTTCCCTCAGGGAAGATTCAGAATCTGATTTCTTCTTCATTTGTTCTAACTCCATTTCTTCATCAGAATCCAGCAAAAGAATAACTTCAGCCTCTTGGTTCACATGAGAAGCAGTATTCTGAGTTGTGAGGACCAATGATGAGCCAGTTGGGACGTGTTTTTGCTTTTTTAAATCAACGTGAGGAGACTTCGCTGGAGGAAGTGTGTTCTTTATGATCTTCTCAAGTCCTGAAGCATCATTCTGTTCACTGGCTTTTTGGAAGGATGCATCATCAGACTGAAAGAGTCCTTTATTTTTATTTTGCTTTGGTGCTGATATGGGAGAAATTTCTGTGGATACTCTGGAAAATGTCCTATTTGATTCTGGAGACATAGGTGATGAACCAACAGCTGGCAAAACCGGTGAGCAATGGTTGATAAGAGGACTGCTACACAAATCACTCCTAACTGACAGAAGGTCTTTCTGTGACTGATGGTGAACAGGTGGTTTATTAACCTCAACATGTGTTTCACTGAAAATCTCTCCTGACTCTTTGTTGTCTTCATTTAGTGGAGAAGGCTCACAATGTTCCCCTTGGGTTGCGGAAAACATGGGATCATAACTTTTACTGAGGTCAGCACCATTGTGTCGACAACTAGGGAACATTTTTTCCCAAGCATCATTCTCTTCTTCATCTTGTGAAATCTGAGAGAATCTAGAAAACTTCACAACTTTGGGCATTCTCTGAGAGCCCTCTCTTTCATCAGAGGCTCTACCATGGGAAGCCGCAACATCACCGCACTCACAAGGCTTATCCTGCAAGTGCACAGGAGCGATTTGTGTAACACTCATGCTCTCACTCCTACTCATACCTGGGATTTTCTTTTCTTGCCCAGGCGATTCACAGCTGGATCTTCCCACACGAAAGTTTTCCTTCCATTCTTTAATCTTGCTGCTTGTTGAGGGAGATTCACACACCTCCACCTCTTCATCCTCAGTCTGTTGGTTCACATTTTGGGCCTCCTCTGTTTCACTGTAAGTGCAGCTGCCTGTGCCTTCTTCCACCTCTGCTTCATCTTGAACAATCTTTCGCTGAGTGGCAACAAACTCATAAATTTCCTCCAGTTCCTGCTCATCCACTTTCTCATTGTCTTCCTCTTCCTGGTCTTCAGGTTTCAGCAAAGCTACTTCTTCCTCATCTTCATCTACCCACATTGACCTCAAGAGCTCCTGGAAATTCTCAGCTCTGTTGTCACAATTTTCTTCTTCCCCCACGGAGAAAAGTTCATCTCCTGAGTCCACCACAGCATGCTCCTCCGTCTCCCCAGGGCTGTTTCCACATACAGAGATCAGTTCACTCACATCAAACCTGCAACGATACAATGGAAGGTTATTGTTTTCCCTCCACCAGTTAGCTCGGCCACCAGCATCCTCATGCCAATTTCCTTACAAGAATCACATGCCTCATTTCCATTAGATGCATCAGCTCAAATCTAACTCTATTATTCAGAATCCCCTTTCCCAGCCAATACCCGAAAGCACTAGTCCCACTCCTTAAAGCTTATATTTTAAGGTAAAAGACTTTACATGGCTGGAATTAAAATTCCTGGCACTGCAGACAAAACTAAGAGGCAAATCACAGCCCTCCCAAAGAGCAGGATGATCATGTTTACACTTCTTCTGTTTCTGCCTCCATCATGGACTCCTTCGCTAAGAAGGCTCTCATGTCTGAGCAGCTTCTCCCTGAAATGAAGCTAGTAGGCTCAATATAGACCCTCCCAAAGCAGAGAACATTTAATGCTCTCAAGAGTCTAAATTTGCCACATTGCAAAAAGGGGCAGAAGGTCAGGTGTCAAAGACAGAGCCTCAATCAAACTGATAGGCTTAGAAAATATGCATGAAACATCCCATCGATCGGACATACAACATCCATGCAAACTCATCAGCTTTGCTGTAGCTACATTGTGACTCCAACCCACAGTCTGTTCTGTTTCCACCTAACTCTCCTGCTGCTCACTAAGCATAAGAACTAGGGCAGGGGTCGGCAGCCTTTCAGAAGTGGTGTGCTGAGTCTTCATTTATTCATTCTAATTTAAGGGTTCACGTGCCAGTAATACATTTTAATGTTTTTAGAAGGTCTCTTTCTATAAGTCTATAATATATAACTAAACTACTGTTGTATGTAAAGTAAATAAGGTTTTTAAAAAGTTTAAGAAGCTTCATTTAAAATTAAATTAAAAAGCAGAGGCCCCCGGACCGGTGGCCAGGACCCGGGCAGTGAGAGTGCCACTGAAAATCAGCTTGCGTGCCGCCTTCGGCACGCGTGCCATAGGTTGCCTACCCCTACCCCTGAACTAGGGCCTGGTTTGTGAATGTGTCCTCGCAAATTAGATGCAGTTTCCTTAAAGGGACACAATCAATTTGAAATCTACTCAGTCGAAAGGCAAGTTTTACACCTTCCCCGAGTCCTTGTATCCATTTTTGTGGTTTTACAATCAGACTTTTTTCCCTGTTTTTTTAAAATCTGTTTCTGTCTCACTACTGTGAAGGAATATACAAATGTCAGGGGAAACTGACTAGTTGTTGGTACAGAGGAAAGTACTGTGAATGCACAGAAAATATAGAATATGTTTTTCTTTCACCTCTTTCACTCTGGGTCATTAGGTGTTATTTGTAAAACTAACAGGTCCACATTCTCAGAGAGGGGGTGATTTTTTAAGTTGACCGAATCCCTTGAATCTATCCGTTTTTTAAGGACTATTCATGAAGAGCACTTAGAGTCACGAAATGACAGTAAGGTTGATACCGCAAGTTAGTGTTACACACAGTATTGATCTCTCAGCAGGTCTTCTGGGGATTAACTGACTATAGTTAGTGAAGTGCTTAGAGAACCTCAGATGAAAGATATACTAATTATTATTACATCACCACCAGCAGCCAGCAGCAACAACAGAGACCAGGGAATCAAATGCTGCTGAGGACACTAGGGGCAGAATGGAATGGCTTGTTCTCCCCCAGGCTATAATGGGCCTGTGCTGACAGGTGTAACTCAGCAGATACACCCAGTGAGAAGATGAGGGGAGTGACACTTCTGTGACAATGGTCACACTGGAAACGTACACTGAGAATTAAAAAGTTTGTTGTAGCCACTCAGACCAGGAATGAAGATGTTGGCTAGATATGTGCAGGAAAACTGCAAAACACTGACTGCCACTGAACATCTGAACTGAAAGGACTTCACCTAAACCAATGCAGCCTGGGGGAGTCACCTCTGCAGAAACTTGGCTGTAAATTCCCAGGCTGGGACCCCAAATAAATCTCATGGTGTAAGTGACTAGACAGCAGTGTACACACCTGACAGCAAGAGCTCCCACATCAGAGAGCACCTGGGCAGGGATACTGATATCAGCTGCATAGAGGTACTGCAGAAATGCACGGGCTGCCTCGACCGTCACTTCACTCAGCAACACTCGACGGGTCCGCAAATTCCCATCCTCTTCCACTAAGAAACCTTCACTGTGAACCTGAGAGTGAAAAGAAACAAACAGCCAAAGCAGGGTCATTTGTCAGCAAGAGAGGGGCACGGGGGGATCAGGCCCAGAATGCCCACACCAGATCAGACCTTTCATCCACTAAATCCTCATCTGGACTCTGGCAGTAGCTAGTATCCGAGGCTTCAGAGGAAAGCTAAAGAAGTCAAATATGCAGTGCTCCTTATGGGGGCGGGGGAGTGTTCCTCCTGACCCCTACAGCCATCACCTTAAACCTGGAAGTATGACGTCTGATCCCTCTGTATAACTGTCACACATCAGTCATAACCTTATCCAGCCCCTTTCTAAATCCAGTACCTTCTAGAGCAGTGAACTGCACAGGCTGACTATACGCTGGGTAAAGAAAAGTTTCCTTGGATTGGTTCTAAATTTACCAATCATGGATTGCATTGAGTGGCCTTTTGCTTTCCTGTTATGGGACTGCATAGAAAGGAGGGACTGATCAGCTTTTCCCATATACTTTGCAACCTGAATCATACCCGCTGCACCCGCATGAATTGACCCTGTTCCCCTCTCTTGCTGGCATGCTTCCACCCCTATCCACCCATAGCATCCACTGCAGTATCTGAGATTCTCTCTTATGGTACTGAATATCATGCAAAGGCTACATCTAACACTTGGAGCTAGGGCTGTGATTCCCAGCTTGTGTAGAAATACTCACGCTAGCTTTTATTGAGCTAGCATGCTAAAATAGTAGTGTAGCTGCAGTAGCAAGGGTAGCAGTGAGTGGCAGCACGGGCTAGCTGCCCAAGTACAAACCCACCCAGACTCCACAGGCATGTCCCCTTGGTTGCTAGCCATACTGCCGCTCACCACTGCCCACGGTACTATGGCTACACTACTATATTTAGCGTGCTAGCTCCACAATAGCTAGCATGAGTTTCCCTACACAAGCTGGGAATCAATCCCCCAACTCCAAGTGTGGACATAGCCAAACAGAAAACACAGGCTCCCAGTTGCTTCTGATTCCTCTATTAACTTCCAGTGTCTCAAGGTCTCTGAAAATGGCAAGACCTGGCTCTAACAACACTCCCCTGGCCAACAGAGAGACTAAATGGAAAACACCACACTGCAGAAGAGGGAAAAGATCCACACAGAAGGGATTAAACATATCATGTAGAGGCCGGATCCTACAACCATTACGCATACAAGTAGTTCCTATGCATGCAAGTAGTCAATGAGGACTACTCAGGTAAGAAAGGGTTGTATGGTTGGGCTATGAGTCAGTAATGCTGGGAGTGTATCTAAACCACTGTGCATGGGGCTAAGCCATCACCTCAGCCTCCTAACTCCATTTACAAAGGGGTCTCAGGGTGTACAGGTGCCTCTGAGTTAACAGCATTTAAGGAAACTCAAAATGTGTTCAGATGCTGGTGGCAGCTCTTCGTGCTACGACCAGGGTTCAGATCCTAGATTCAGGGCCCGTCACGTTGCGTTGGCGGGATACTATTGAGGAGGTACTGTGGGATGCTCGACTGCACACCCCGCTGGGAGCGTGAGGAGCATTTCACTGTCCTTCATGAGAAGCTCTGTTCAGCACTGTTAGCTCAACAGCAACTGCGGGAGGAGAGGCCTTGTACAGGGAAATGATTTCTACTCTGGGGGAAGGGGTGGAGACAGACCCTCATAAAGGTCACGCACAGGCATAGCTAGACTCTCCATGGCCTAGTCCCTGGATTTCATGTGTCGCTCAAGCTCAGCTCTAGGAGAAGGGCAGGACAGATGTACCAGTCAGGACTCACTAGCCTAGGCTTGTGTGGGGTGGGTGGCTATGGAAATCCAGAGGGCAAACATATAGTTAGATATATACCCTCCTGTATAAACTGCTGGCAGATTGCTGGACCTACCATCCCCCTTACTCCTTCAAACAACTGCCACTCACTCTCTATGACGACACCACAGGACTCTTGCTACCTGCCTGCGGGGAGGGGCAGGCGGCTGCAAATCACAGCTGGGTCAGAAGTGCCCTCTGCACCAGGCTTTAGCACCTGCTCCCGACTCTGAAGCAGAACTGCCTGTAGAGACTGGAGCCAATCTCTTCCTACTTAGGAGGAGAGTACCGCATGGCAGCTGTGCCCAGAGACAACAGCACTGCCAGAAGGAAGAGGAAGGCAGCACAGCAAACAAATACAAAAGCAAACACATCCAACCATACTTACGATTTCAGTCAGCTGTGGGCACCGTGCATAAAGCACAAACATATGGGCATAAAGGACTTCCCCACTGTCTACCTGGAACTGGACGTCACTTAGATGGGGGTTGTTGACCATTCCACTGAAATCGGCAGCCAGCGACCTGAGTGAGGACTAGAACAAAGAAGGAAGGAGAGAGAAAAACGCTGGTGCAGCTGTAATTCATTTCCTTGACAAAGGCAGAGGGGATAACCCAATTTGTCAATGCTGCTGTACTCGGGGCCCAGGTTTGGATGGATTTATCTTTCCCCTTTGTGATGATTTATGTCCTCGATTAAATTTCACTTCTACGCCAACAATAATGAATTTGAGAAGCAACTAGTATCAAGCTTTCCCTTTGGAGTTACTACCCTGCAGCTGGAGTTATGCTGAGCTCTGTTACCCTGCCTGTTCTGGCAGACAGGACAGTTTTAGTGAGACTTCAGTTTTAACTGGCCTTAAACACACAGGGCCAAATTCTCTGCAGGCGTAGGTGCAAACAGCTCCACTTACTCCAACAGAGAATTTGACTCACAGGCTGACTGCAGTGTGAGTAAGCAGTCCTCACTGGGATGTACTCAGCATCTAAGCCAAACTTGGGAGGTGAGGCTGGAGCAGACTTCTGAAATTGTTCGGACTGGTACTGCAGCTAGCAACACTGCAAGATTAGGAGCAAAGTCATGCCATGAGGTGCACCTATCCCCAACCAATGCAACAAGCATAGCAACACAGGGCCTTCCCAAGTGACATCAGCATGCTGATCTATAGCACCTCTCTGGTTTCAATGTCTACCTGGAATAATTTTAACTGAATGCATAATAATGGGAAAGGGCACTGTAGTGGGGCGGCTCCCCCACTCCAGTGGAAAAGGGGTTAAAGTCAGCCCTGGGAGAAGGTTATGGCTGAGAGCTACTAAGCTGAGCTGATTTGGGGAAGCGGCAGCAGCTGGTCCATGCCCCAGCCAGGCCACAGCTGGCCTGTATAAAAGGCTGTGAGCCAGAGGCCCAGCAGTCTCTCTCTCTCTCCCCAGGCTGGGAGAGAACAGGGCCTGGCTGCCTGCAGAAAGGGTACTGGAAGTGAAGCAGGGCTGGGGAAAGGCCAGAGGAGCAGGGGAGCTCCAGGCTGGCAACTCCCCGGGCTGCAGGGCCTGGTCCAAGGCCCATAGAGGTACTGGGAGGCAGGCAAAGGCAGCCGGTCTGAACCCCCTTGCCTACGATGAGTGGCTTTTACACTGCAGTCTGCCCCAGGGAGCGGGGGCTAGTGATGACTGGCAGTAGCCCAGACTGAGGCAAGGTGGGGATTAGAGGGTTGGGGGTTCCCCAGAGAGGGGAGACACAGAGGCAGAGTGTGGGGGTATTGCCAGGGGGCAGCACCCCCGATAAAAGGGCACCGGGGTCCGGGAGGGACACAGGGCTGGAAACAAGCGGGACACCGGCCTGCAGAGGGCGCCCAGGCTGGAAAAGAGCTAATTCCCTGAGATGACCAGCAGGAGGCGCCGCAGGTGAGAGTCCTGCATGTTTACAGGCACAAAGGAAAGTGGAAGACTCAGGGACTGCATCATGGGATACAGAGCCTTTTCTTCTCCAGTTCACTGTAGTCTGGCTCACACGGATAATAGCTGAGAGATGTCACCATCTAACTGGGCATTCCATGGCTTGTGTTCTCACTCCGTTTCCCCATGGATAGGTACACTGGGTGGAATTTTCAAAAGTGCTTAAGTGACCGTAGGCATTCGAAAAATCTTTTTGAAAACCTTACTCACTCGTCATAACCCCCCCCCCCCCCCACTATTAGCAGAAATACGGTTCCTTGCTGGCAGGCTGAAAAAGGGAGCCATGGAGACTGAACTCCCTCACATGGCTAGTGATTGTGCCCCTGGGTCAGGACTGGGGCATTCTGCTAGGGCATCATGTGAGGGAAACTTGCCCTGCCATCTCCTCTGCTGCACCTGTTCTGAGGCTAGAGAATTTCAGTACCAATCGAAACCAAACCAGTGCTTTTCACCAGCATGAAATTCAAAGGAAAAGAAAACAACGTACGGTCCATTTCTCCTTTAGGAGCTTTGGAGCTGCCCCAGATAGTCCGATCTTTAAGAGAACTGGATCCATCTAGTCTGATATCCAGCCACCAGACACGGCCTGTTCTTTGAAGGAAAGTGAAAATCCTCATCTTGCCAGTTGTACACTGGAGGGGCTTCCCCCACCCAGCTAGGAATCAGCTTATACTTGAAGCACTGGTCACAGACCTGGTACGTTTTTAACCTTCAGTAGCTTGAGGAACTGCCCATGTTATTCCTATAGACATCTGCGCGAGATGCAGCTCCATCTGGAACAACACAGCTCTTTAATTTATTTTAGCAGGTTTCTGTATTCTGCAGCGGACTGTGGAAACCAACATTTGATTCGACACAGTACGTGCTCATGGGTGGCCGACACTACGTAGTACTGAATTATCAGTGCACATCTGAACAGTCTTCCTGGATTTGGTAGATGGGCTGGAGAAGGCTTCATGGGTCTGGGCAGAAAAATGGAGTCATTCTCCAAGGGGAAGACAGGAAGCAAAGGCTGGAAACCAATCAGCTGTTTCTTGCTGTCTTATTCTTGGCAAGACGTTCCCTTACAATGCCATTGAACCAAACACACTGGCGCCACATTCCGGGCAGGGAGCCAAGATCGGCTTTCCTGCTGCAGCTAAAATCATGAATGAGGAAAGGAAAATGAATTCAAACTAGAAACCTTCTCCTGGCTGTACTGTAGCCTGGGCAAAGTGAGTGGCTGGGTCTCAATCCAGTTCTGAGTGGACAGCTGTTCACATCACAGAATCCACGCACTGCTCCTGGCAGTGTCAGCAGCGAGGCCAAGTTCTGCAATGTGACACAGAACTGAACTTCCCCATAAAACAGAAAAGGCTCTGGCAGGAGGCACAGAGGCTGAGCAGTGTGAAGAAGCCTGTGCTCCTCTATCTTTGCTCTAGTTCCGGTCACATAGAGAACTGAATCTTTAAGGATTTTTTGATCGCCCCAAAGGATCACAATCTGAGACTGGAACTTCTGCTGGAGTTTCTGCAGCGAGAACCTCAGGCTGAGAAATGGGGCTTCCATATCCCCAACAGATTACATGCCAGAGCTTACCACTGACCCCTACGAGACTGGATTCCTTTCAGCAATCTCTTAATACTATCAGTCAAAAACAACAGTCTTCATCCTCAAGGATTCAAAATATATCTGGCCTGAAAATCCACAAGGCGCCATGACATGTGCACCAGATAAATAGAGGATAACAAATTTCTACTACATAAAGTGGATGATCTTGATAACAAAGATAAGAATTAGAAACCTCTACAAAATTATACATATACTGCAAGTGTGGGAACTGGAGTATGATTCTGCAGGGCAAGGTCCCTGTATCTGGGGTTAAATGTGATTGATGAAGTATTACAGGCTTGATGGGAAAACCTCTGGGGATGCATATCACATGGCATTGCACTGCTCACCATGTGGGAGTGCAGAATCTGTCAGGCTGCAGCTCTTAAAGGACACTTCAACCCATCCAGCTATCTTCTTTGAAATGTGTTCACCTATGGACCGAGGGTACCACGGAAAGATTTTCTTGGTGAGTAATAATAGTGCTGAGCTCTTACAAAGTGCTTCTCATCCATAGATCTCCCAGCATTGCATCTCCTCTGTAAGCTTCTTATCCCAGATGGCGTGAGTTCAGTGTAAATCAGCCTGACTCTGTAGGAACCCATCTCTTTATTTTCATTTATATAACCAGGTGCTGGATAGACAGGTAAGAAGACATGGTTTCCTGCCCTGAAATGCTTAGAAACTAAGGGTAGTCTATACTACCCGCCAGATTGGCGGGCAGCGATCGATCCAGCAGGGGTCGATTTATCACGTCTAGTCTAGACACAATAAATCGACCTCCGAGCGCTCTCCCATCGACTCCTGTACTCCCCCAGGCCGAGAGGTGCAGGCAGAGTCGATGGGGGAACGTCAGCAGTCGACTCACTGCAAGTGAAGACACCGGGGTGAGTAGATCTAAATATATTGACTTCAGCTACGTTATTCACGTAGGGTTAAGTGCATTACCTCCTGTACACAAGCCACTTGTCTTTACACAAATCACCTGGATATTTGCCTAATATTCTCTTAGTTTAGATCTTTCCATTTCCCTGTAGGACAAGGTCTTTGTCACATACACAGGCCTCTTTGTGGGCATTAGTGAGACACTGGGTGTGTTGACATCAGCTGCCTTTTCTGATGATCCCTACCACAGAAGGATGGGACCTCAGGGCACCTCTTCCTTTTCTACAGATAGGGATGGAAGGTATTTTGGGTCACTTTCTAGGTATTTCGCTCTTACATGAATCAATATGCCCCCTTCAACCCCTGAGATACACAGCAGTAAAAGTACAAAAAAATAAGGAGAACTAAACAAGGCTCTGCCCTTACTGTGTGAAGGTTGCTGCTCTGGCACATCTTCACCTTGGATGGAGGGACAAAGCCACTAAGTGGAATGTCGCTGACCACCGATTCTCCTCCTCAAGGAAGAAAATACAAATCAAAACTCAAACACAACCTCTGTATGAGACAAGCTGCAAAGTAAACATTCCTAATGGCACCTGTGCTTTGACAGATACCCCAAACTTGTGACTCCTCCCTACTCACATGTGAACCAGTCCTGACATATCAGCCTCCCTCTCCCTTACTTAACAGTGATCCTCTGGGCTGGGCTGCTGATGTCTGAATCCCATTCAGCGGAGGGCAGCACCCTCCTACCATGGATCCTGAGGGAATCTGAGACTGGGGTTTCAAAGTGTGGTGTGCAGAACTCAATGGGGAGTGGCGGAAGAAACCTAAGTCTGGAGAAACTGGTACAATTGCATTAGCATCTATTTAGAGCCTTTCATCTCAGAGGGCTCAAACCAAAATACATATATGTATGAGAATTACTTCAATCACTAGCAAAGTGAAGTCCCCTCCAAAATGGACTATGGCTGCAGTTTAACACGCCCAGCAGCAATACACAACAGGAAGTGAAGAATACTACACCCAACTGAAAAGGCAGAGAGATGGCACAATTTATTAACTGAGTTCTCCTTTATAAGGACACAGGAAATACATAATATACCCACTCTTGACAAGTGATCCTCAGTTTTAAAGGGCCACTGTCAACTTGAAAATCACTTCACCCTCTGAAAATCTGGCACCTGCTATTGTTCTAAGTAAATCCTTAGGGGACTATAACTGTGAGATTAGAGAGAAATAAATATTCTGTTTTCTGTTTACACAGAGTTCTTATTTTGTGCATTTGGCAACCCTTGTGTATGGTCAGCCTCTCTATTTTGCTGATGGTCAGTTGCAATTCCTGGCTCATATTCCAGCATGACATTACTATTGTGCTCTGTTTTGGGAGAAGCTTACACACATCATGGCCTTCCCTGGACTCTGGAAGAGTGTGTTACCAGTGACCACCAACAGACATGAACAGGGAGCAAGGAGGGGTGTGCACAGAAAGAAAAGGGGGAAGTGAGCAGGCCTGGGCCAGGTATTTTTAGCATTGCTCTTGGATGTGTCCAAAAGACTCTCCTGGGCATCAGCTGAAGAGCAGAAAAACGCTGAGAGTTTTTAAAGGAACTGTAAAAATAAAATTCAGGACATGCTGTTTAAAAGGGACTCCGTCCAAACCGGGATGTATGAAAAATTAGTCAGTTTAAAAAGTGTCAAGTTGACAGTCTCCCAGGCTGGCACTGCTGCAGAACAGTACCCCATACACAATGCTTGGAGCATTCATGATTCTGTGAAAAAAGTGCCACCTACTGAATCACCTTTATTTCCTGCAGCCTCTGGTCAAGCCTCTGCTATCCAAGTATTGACCAGGCCCAGTTCTGCTTAGCTGATGTGATTTGATGGGATCAGTTCATAGGGCTGCCAGAACTTACTCAGTTGCTTCACTTCACTGGTGTGGTCAACGTCAATGTTCCACTGCGTGAGAGTAAGTCCTTCCCCAGCCAGCTCCACCAGGTCCTGCAGAGTCTGAACATCCTTCTGGCTGCAAGATAGAAACTGCTGCTCTCCATCAGGGTCTGCCTGGGGATCATCAGTAGTTCTGTTTCCAAGCCCCACAGAAGCAGGATCAGGATGGTTGCTGCTGGTCTGTAACTGCTGAGATAGTTGTGGTTGGTCAGATCTCACTGATGGCAAAATAGTCCCTGACTACAGACAGACAGAAAGAATTGGTTCCTGTCTTGTGTGTTCATGCAGCTTGGGAATCACTCAGTGGTTGGACTACACTCTAGTTCACAGTTTTAAAGCCCTAGTGTGAAGGTTACATGGTCTCCAGAACAGTCCCCAGATGCCGGTGCTACCTACCGAGGCAAATCTCCTTTGCATATGGAGAGGTCTATGAAGATAAGAGAGCTCAAACCACCCTCAAAAGCAAGCTGACTGCAACGGAGAATGTGAGAAGAGGGGTTTCCCTGGGAGTGTATTTGTGTGACAGCAGCTGCCGAGCAGGGAGGATGGATGGTGGAAGTAGTCCCACTCTAACAACTGAACATTTCATTATGGCTGGGGCTCACTGCGACAGCTATGGCTAAGGCAGCCAACGGTTCCACTCTGAAGGGTCTTTTTGCAGTTACTAAGAACTTAGAACTTTTACCTTCTGGGCTGAAATTTTCCAGGTTTGGTCTCTGCTTTAGTTTTTACGGTGTTTGGGTCTCCCCTCCCCCCCCATTTCAATAAAAATGGCTCAGCCATTTCTGAGAATGAAAATTATGAGGGAAAAATACACTCCTGCCATTATTTAAAATGTTTTGCAACCTGTTTTTGAACACCTCTAGTGCCTCATCATTAGAAACTTGAAATCTGACACAGAAGTAGCTCCGAGGTCAGATGCGTGCCTTTGAGTCACCAAATGAAAATCTACTGGGATTTAACCAAGTTATAAGAGTTTAAACAAGGTACTTGCACATGCACACCACATTTCTTGTTTTAAAAAAGAATGTCCAACTATTCTTCTGGTGTCCATGAATAAGGAAGGAAGCAAAGTGAAATTTTCCCTCTTGGAGGGTAAGTGTGAAAAAAGACAGAACTCTGAAGGAGTCCTATCAATGTTTAAACTGAATGAAGTGCAATGAAAGAGGCGGGAGATCTGTGAAAAAAACAGTCTGTGATTGTGTAATTAAAGAGTGTACCATAAAGCATATGCACGAGGGAGTAGAGTTAAGGTTGCACAAGCAACCTCAGATTTGGCAAAGCCTGACGTTTGAACGCTTCACTTTGCAACCTCAATTTACTTGGACCATACTCTTTGTATGGAATACTAACAAATGTCCTCAAAACACAGGTGCAACTTAATTCCTAGCTAGTCAAGTACTGTATATGGACTAGGAAACAGATATAGAAGGTGGTGAGCATGCCAGAGCCAATCAAAGAACCAGGAACTCTCTGGGCCTCAGCAATGTAAGAGGCAAGCATACACCTAAACTGGGGTCAAAATGACTGGGTAAGATTTCCTTATTTAATTACCCTCCATTGCTGCACAGCTTCTTTTTCTGAAATGTAATAGAAAAAGCCTCTAAACAGACCAGCAGGTGCCTTTGCCTTCAATTCTAAAAGCAGATGTACACAGTCAGACCACATGAGGGCAGTGATGGAAACCGGAAGGGTAAACACACAGTGCCAATGAGTGTGCAGACTCAGGAGGGCAGCAGGGCCGAAGAGCAAAGGAGCACACAACTGCGAGTGTGAAAGCAAGAAGGTGGCAGGGACAAACCACTGGTGAGAATAAGTAGTAGAGGAAAGAACAGAATGATTCCTCACCTGCACAGGTTTCCAAGGTAAAATAGGAGGGGTTAATCCCGCTGCATAGAAGGACTCTGGGACACAGGGTCCTGTCAAAGTACTATACTCCCACAAAATGCAACGCTGGTCTTTGGGCAAAGATAGAAGCCAGGCTGCCTTCCCAGGCTCCTCCTCCAAAATCCTGCTGGCAGGGAGCGGAGGGGTGCTAGGGAACTCCACCTCCTCTGTTAGTAGCATGGCCATCCGGCTTTGAATCCGTTTATGGGCTGTCTCTGGATCTTGAAGTAACAATGGAGGCGGCGTGCGGGGGATGTTCTTACGCCTTTTTTTCTCTATTTAAAAAAAAGTATATAATAGAACATACAGGGTGCAGGAGCACAACATGCAAGCTTCTTTGAGAGCTGAAGACAGGGTACCTGAAGTGTAGCTCACAGGCCAAATTGGACTCTCAGAGCTCCACAACAACACCTGCAGCTGCCATCATTTTTAATACAGGGAAACAACC